AATATAATATAAGTAATAATTTAATAGTTAATACTTGAAATTTTAACAAAGTGTTTCGGACATACTTTATTGTGAAGTGAACTAGGATATTCTTGATTAGATGAAAATTGTAATTTTGGCAACGAAAAAACGACAATTTTTTTAAGGAAAAATCGAAAAATTTCTTGAAAACTCCGCCATTTCCGGTCACACTGGATAGGCCCCTTAATTCAAGAATTTCCCAACGATTTCGTATACAATACGAAATTGAAACGTCTTCAACGTGTCACGAGAACATCTGACAATCCTCGAAACAACATTGTTGATCGAATTACCCTAAAACTGAGGGTTATAAAATGAAAAGTATGGGGAAATTCTTATGCGAGAGCGTTCACATGCCGAACGGATTTCTGAGAGCCATGTAGGACGAGGGACACTGAATTTATAAACCGGAGAAACTCGTCGAGTCTACGCTGGACTCGTTCCAGTAGTTTGTCGTGAAAATACGACCGCGCGGAACGAGTCCATCCGGTGGTTTTGTTATCGACTCGTTTGAATAAATACGACCCTCGTACGCGCTTGCCCGTTGCGGCATTTTGTAACGTTTTGCAAAAAGAACGGTGCATTGTTGCGAGTATGGTGCCACTTTTACGGTTTCTGAAGGCCTTAATACGAAACTCTGTCATGTTTCCTGTTCTTTACATCGAGCGAGCTTTCATAAATTCCGACTTAATGCAACGCCGAACAGAAATATCTGTGCACCGTATTATGCATTCCGTTTTAACATGCAAATTTCGAATCTGACCAATTTTATTATAAGTTTACAAGTTATAAAATTGATACCATTGATCGATGCGATGAAGCAACTTCTTATGCTTTTAATGTTTAAACTCGGTAGAGTTTCCGTGCTCCACTTGTATACGATTCTGTGTGTATTCACAGTATTTCAGCCGATGAATAGGTAACAGTATACAAAATCGGAAAGCTCGATGGTCGAGTGAGTTTATATAATTGACACGAAATCGACGGGCGTATAAAGGGTCGAACATCGACGGAAAACGTGTTCCCTTTTGTACGCTCGAGTCGATTCTGACAGGGAATTCGAGACGAACGATGTTCCCAAAATCGGTACGTTTTTTTACCTCTCTATCCCTCTTTTTTGCTCCGACGTTTTTTGGGACCAAGCAACTTTGAAGGTTGACGTGCGGCGTATAATACGTGTGTATAGCGAAGCTGTTTGCGCGTCTCGAAGTTAACACGAATTATCCTAGGTGGTCAAGCTCGGCCCGGAGATGATTGATAACTCTGTTGTAAGGCGTTATCAGCCGTGGCGTGCACGTTGTTATGTTCACGTCAAAAAACGTGACGCTGATAGACGGGCCGCCTCTCCGTTCCTCTTTGTCTTTCGCGCGCATTTCTTCATCTCTTCCACACGACCTGTTAATTCAAGCTTACACGCCGGCCGTGTTAACCTCGAACCCTTTTTCTCAACCCGACGTTCTTCCCTCGTGTCCCTCCGCTTCCTCTTTCACACCAGACGTACGGACAGACGGACACGGCAGTCCCGATATCGACGAGCGCCAACAACTCATCCACCGGAAACTTCTTATCAACTGATTGAATGTTCCAGGCAATCGTAAACCTCGTCGTATCTCGAGTTAATAGAATTCAGTGTAGCGCACTGACTTCTCTATGATTGATCACGCGGCTCGCCGTAGCTCAGTAATTTATCAAACGCGGCTCGAAACTCTGTCGTTCCTACAGAAGCTGACGATAAATGTAGACAAACAGGATACGGTTTGGAAAACGCGATCAGTACCGAACCACCGAGTGAATACGATTCGTTGACAGCTTCTATAAGGATGGAATCCACATATCTTTTATTTTATACATTAAACTAGAGTTATCTCAGAATGTTTTAACATTAATAAGGCTTAAAATATAACATACATTATAATTACATTTACCGGAGAAGCAAGAAGAGGCGATAAAAGTCAAACATATTTAATAACCAGTTAATATCAGATCAGCATTCCTCTTACCACTTAAACTTGGCGATTCAGCTCGAGCCTCTTAGTCAAACGAATCGCATCTTCTCTGCTATTTACGATCACGCGAGTCGCGACTTGTTCTCTCAGTGAAAAAAGCTATCGATTGAATTTCTAAATTAGGAATCTACCAGGAGCGTTTCATTAGGGGATTAAGTTATCACGGGTCGGAGGCTGGCTAATGAGCGTTCCGAATGAACCGAGTACGTAATCGTCTCGCGACTTCGTACTTGGCAACCGCGACCGGTTAAAAGCGAGAGGAATCCGACTCCGTGAACTGTGAGAATTGCAGAACGAACGATCTGTAAACTGGTTAAATGACCGTGTCTTCTTTGCTCGGTGGCTGGAGTTCGCGGAAAAATGGTTGAAACAAGTCGTGCGGAGGAACGCTTCGTTTAGGGAACTGCTAGCTCACTCCTTGCCGTCGCATGGAACAGAATTCTTACATTAGATCCACGTGATTGCTACAGCTTTTTCTTTTTTTATTCTAATATTTATAATCGTATCAACCTCAAAAAATTATTACCGACCAGCAGGAAATTTAAAAAATCAATTCGCTGTAATCATTATTAATTCCGTAACATGTATGGATTATTTCTTCATATTATGTACCATAGACGAAGTAACTTAATTGCTTTCAGGAACTTTAGAAATCTAATCTCTTTGTTAGAGCTGGAGATATTGAACTAATATCTTATAATTGCGTTCGTTATATTTTTTATTTACGTATAATACTGAACTCTTTAATTGCAAATATAATTAA